CTGGGCTTGGTCTCTCTCGCCTATGGAACTAAACCTGAAATATTCTTCCAGGCTTGATTTTCCAATGACTGTCCGTATTCCAGGGGGCGAGGAGAGGATGTGGGAGAATACAGCACAGCTTTCCCAGTCGTGGTTTCTGGCTCCCAAGTGGACCTTCACTGCTACGCCCATCATGCACTGCTACACCCATCATGCAGCCTTCAAAAAGGCAGATATGACCACGCCACTCCCCCGAGTAACAACTGTCAAAGGTCCCTACCTCTGGCCAGCTAAACCTCCCAGCCTATCCCTCAAGGATCCTCACCATCCAATCAACACACACAAACACACACCATATATACCCTAAATTGTGGTCACAGCAAGCAGCTTGCTATTTCATGAACACAATTCAAGCTTTTCCTACCACCACTACCCCCAGGTGATTTTGCACATCCTCTTTCTTTGCCTGGAATGTCTTCTCCACCTGGCAAGCTTTTATTCTAAGTGTCCATCACTCCTCTGTGAAGCCTTCTTTGACTTTCTTGGGCAGAGCAAAAACTGCCTCTTCCAAGCTTCCCCAGTGCCCTCTTAGAGCATCTTGTCAAGTTGTGTAACTGTTTGCACAACTGTCTTCCCCCAGACTCGGGGGCTCCATCCTCATTCCATCCCCAATCCTGTGAGCCCAGAACACTGCCTGGCACAGGGCAAAGCTCACCCCACATTTGTTGAATGAAAAACATATAGAAACCGCCATCCTGTAGTCCACTTGCAAATTTAAGTCACGTCCAAGAGTAGATAGAAGTGATATCAAAGATTTAACAAACAAAAAGTTAACATTTAAAAAAACTCAAGTTCTATTCTGTTTTTTAAAATATATAAACATTATTTTCTGAACATAATTGTTAGCTTGGGTCTTTTCTCTTTTTGCATAGAGTTCTCATTTTCAAAGAGGTCTGCATCTGTGTGTGGCTTTAACAAGTTTGTAAAAGCTGCTTTCACAAGTTCACAAAAGCCAGATTGGCCTGAGCTTTTGCCTAAAGGATCAGATTCCTCTTGTTGAATGAATTTTATGTTTAATAACAATAACTTTATTCTTATTTTGTTATTAAAATGATACACTTTTGTAAATGGAAAACTATGAAAAATGAAACAGGTAAGGACATATAAAGAAGAAACTAAAAATCCCCTTAAAATCCACCACCCTGATATAACCACTCTCAGCATTTGGTGAACCAAATGCGCCAGTAAGAACCCAAGCTGCTGCTTTTGACGATGATCTAGTACGTTATATATTTTTAGGACTCCAGACTGGCCCTCTTCCGCCACGCCAGACTGCTGAGCTTGGGCACAGAAAGCCAAGGCCTTGCCCTTGTGAGCAGATACCCCAGTCACAAATCACAGGGCTCAGCGCTAAAATCCGCTGCGCCGTGTGAGCGTGGGTTCAAAGAAGAAAACAACGACGGGAAAATATCTGCACAGTAATCAGGCCAGTGAACACGCTTAAAAGAACACACTCGTTTTTGGAAAACAAAATTATTAAATTAGCAAAAGGGAACACATTAGACTCAGCAGAGCTGAGTTTCCAAATGTCTTTTGGAAATAATTAACTCTAGGCAGCAGGGATTGAGTACATTCCCTGCCAGTGGGAAGTGGCTGCAGGACTGCGAACTGGAAAGGTGGCCCTGGGGACAGGGCGTACAGAAGAAGGCTTGAGGAAGGGGCTGTTCTCTGAAACCAGGCATTGCTGCCAGCATGAGGGGGCTCTTTGGCAGAGTGGCTAAGAGCATGGGCTTGGAGATCTGGGCTGTAGTCTTCGCTCCACCACTGACCAGCTGTAAGACTGTCAGCAAGTTTCTTCCCGCAAGCCTTGGTTTTTTCATCTGTAAAATGGGCAGATACTCTAAATTCCTACTTGATAGGATTCTGGTGACAAATACATAGCACATTTCAGATGGATTAGCAGTCTATGGTGAACATGCAGGGCTCGATGGTGATTATTTTGAGGGATCCTTTGGTGAATGAGGTGGAAGAGTGGACATGTGTGTTCATGAGGGTCACAGCTGATCCTGGATTAGGAGGGCATTGAGCCCCGCCAAAGTCACTGAAATCACTTGGGACCTTAGAACCAGACTCCTTTGCTGATTGAGGAAGTCACATCATGAGATATTAAAGCAGTCAAAGCCTCAAGAGTCTCTGAAAAAATAGATTGTTCCTGGTAAACTAGTTAGCTATTGCTGTAAGAATGCTGCCTGGTAAACCATCCCCCTCCTCCAGCATTTACCAAGAGTCCTCCGGCCCAGCCAGACCCCAGATACAATGACAAGGACGCTGGGGCTCGGGGCTTCCTGGGCACCAATCACACAGACACCTCGGTTGTCTCGTTGCCAGCATGGCGGGCTCTGCCAGTTGTGTTCCCAGGTCCGGGGGAGCCCGTGATGTAGCTCACCTGTGCCTCCGGGAGAGGCACCTGCAGAGCAAACGCCAACTGTCCTGGGTCTGAGAACAGTTATGGTGATTGTAAATTGATTAGAATACAGACGCCAACGGAGGAAGTGAGAGGTGGTGAGGTTTGGGAAAGCTCATTCCTTTCATTCTCAGGGTCTTGGGATGGAGGAAAAGGAGGCTGAGAGACGGGACTCTTTCCAGAGGCATCTGGAACAATCTCTAGCAGAGCACTTGGTCCCTAATTTCCCAATGTGGGCCACCTGCTTTGGTACCAGTAGAGAAGTGTATTAAAGAATCTTTGGTGTCCCCAGCCCCACCCAACCAGTGTCCCAGGGTCAGGGCTCAGGGGCTTTGTGGGTGCCAAGGTTCCAGATGATTCTGAGACCTTCAGTCACTCAGGATCTGGGAGTTTGGGGCTTAAAAGTTAGGGAGGAGAAACAGATCCTTGCCTCTGGTTTTATGGGCTAACCCTTGCCGAATGCCTTAAATTCTGAGGAAAGGGAAGAGTTCAGTCCCAGGAAGGGTGACTTCTGGGATCACCTGGAGTTTTCAATTTCATTTCCAGAATTTCCTGGCACTAGCCATGGTTTTAAGCAACTACTACATTCAGTGACTGCCCATTTTATAGACATGGAAACTGAGATGAAACTGACCCATCTCCTGCCTGGAGCTCAGTGAATTCTGCCCGTGGAGCCCTTGGCTTTCCCTCCCCTCCAGGTGCTCTTCCTTCCAAGACATGGCGATCCAAACCAGTGCACTGTCCAAAGTTCTCCCAGCATTTACTGTCCCTCGGGCCCTGCGCTGATTGCTCTACCCAAACTCTCTCATTTAATCCTCACAATGACTCAGGCAGTGAAAGAGGAGGAAACAAATGCACAGAGAGATCAAGCAACTTGCTTGATGTCACAGAGCTCCAAAGCTGCAGGCTCCCGGGCCCTCAGGGTCCCACCTTAACTCTACATCTAAGCCCCTTGTCCCACTTCCTTGGAGGAGAAGGAAGAAGAAAATGATCCTTACTGGTTACGCTTTTAGCTGTGAGACCCAGAGAGGCAACAAAAATGTGCTCAAACATGAATGCTTAAATCACTCCCTTCCACATACGACATACACACACGCCCTCTTCTCATGACACACGTGTACCTACACACGCATGCACCATCCACAGCCCCTGCCCCACCCCTGCACACTCCAGGGCGAGGGATGGTGAGCTGGGACTTCGCTGCTGCTTGGGAAGTCGGGAGCTTGCAGAAGGTGTCAGCTGCCTTGGCAAAGACGAAACTGTGCTCACAAGGTGGTTGTCGTGGATGGGAAGAGGGGACAGGTTGTGCCACACGCCGGGAGCCTGCAGAGACCCAAAGAGGCTTTGCGGGGGAGGGGAGGGGAGAGCTGAGAGTGAGGCTGGGGAGGAAGGAGCTGCCCTTGGTCCTCTCCAGGGGACACAGCGAGGTCACAGCTTCTGGCAGGCAGCATCTGGGTGCCTGCAGGAGGTGAGTAATGGGCCATAAATAATGCACCAGGGCAAGGCGGGGGGCAGCTGGTGGGCGAGCCACTCTGGACTTGCAGGCAGAAGACCCAGGAAGGAATCCCACCCTCGTCTCAGATGGCTGGGTGCTGCTCTCTAGGGTGCTCTGCTTCCCAAAGTGTGAGCCAGGGACACTAGTCATAATGATCAGCCACTGACAGGATGACAGGAGAAAAGAGGAAGATGTGTCGTAAACAGAAAGGCTTTCTCCAAATGCAAGGTGGTGGTGTCGGGGCAGGGGGAAAAGATCTTTTTCCTTCTATGCCCCTAGGTTCTCTGGCTGGGGCCCTGTAAATGAGATGACAAAAGGCAGATGAACAAGAGAAAAGCAAGGAGAAGTTCATTAACACGTGCATCGTGCACACACGTGGAAGCACTCAGTGATGAGTAACTCAGGGGTGGTTAGAACTTGGGCTTATATAGCATCTTAACAAAAGAGCATGACCGGGCGCGGTGGCTCACGCCTGTAATCCTAGCACTCTGGAAGGCCGAGGCAGGCGGACTGCTCAAGGTCAGGAGTTCGAAACCAGCCTGAGCAAGAGCGAGACCCCCGTCTCTACTAAAAATAGAAATTAATTGGCCAACTAATATATAGAGAAAAAATTAGCTCTACAAAATATAGAAAAAGTAGTGGCTCAGGCCTGTAATCCTAGCACTCTGGGAGGCTGAGGAGGGCGGACTGCTCAATGTCAGGAGTTCGAAACCAGCCTGAGCAAGAGCGAGACCCCTATCTCTACTAAAAATAGAAATTAATTGGCCAACTAATATATAGAGAAAAAATTAGCTGGGCATGGTGGCGCATGCCTGTAGTCCCAGCTACTCGGGAGGCTGAGGCAGGAAGATTGCTTGAGCCCAGGAGTTTGAGGTTGCTGTGAGCTAGGCTGATGCCACAGCACTCACTCTAGCCTGGGCAACAAAGTGAGACTCTGTTTCAAAGAAAAAAAAAAAAAAAGAGCAATACATTCTTAGAAAAGTGACAAGACAAAGGGAAAGGCCTTTGAGTTTCTAGGGACGCAAATTGTGGGAAGATATACAGGGAGGAATTGGTGGGCAAGTGAGGAAGGTTTCCTCTTGTGCCCTCCCTGGGCCGATGAGCTTCCAGACTCATCTCTATTGATTAACTTCTGTCCTTCCTGTCGAGAGGGACGGGGAGATACCTTTACAAATCTATGTCCTGCTTTTACGAAAATACAGAGAGGGCAGAGAGTTTTTCTTGTATTTGCTTCTTCTCAGTTGTCTTCAGCTCAAAGTAATCAATATGCCAAGGTGGCATATTTTGGTATTATGTTTTTATAACATCATGCCGTTATATATTATATATTATTATTATTTCATCCGGAGAGGCAGTAGGTAGAGCATAATGGTTAAGAACAGAGGTCCTGGAGCCACCTTGCCTTTGCTCAGACACAATTGCTGATTATGTGAGTGGGCAAGTGACTGCCATTCTAGGCCTCAGTTTCCTAATCTGTAAAATGGGTATAACGATAGCACGTGCTGGATGTGCAGCTCTTGCAACAGTGCCTGACACAGTGCAGGAGTGTACGAGTGCTGGCTGTTCTCTCCTGGGGCGGAGGTGCTTACGTGATGGGCTGCTGGGCTGATTTTGTGGGGGGCTTAGGACCGTGCCTGGCAGAGGTAGAGACTCAATGCCTGGGGCCCTCACGATTGTGAAGGCAGCAGGCCTGAGGCCAGGGAGGGGTCCCAGAATGCTGACGTCTACCTGCCCTGCCCGGCATCTCTGCTCACTCACCAGCCTGTGGCCCCCTTTCCCTAGAGTGCCCCTGTGTCATTCTCCGTGATCCCCCCCAGCCCAACCTGCCCAGCCGATGGCTCAATCTCAGGACCAAAGTCTGACCCAGCTTGCAACCTCCCAATTAAGCCCTGACATATAAATCCAAAATATAAAAGTACTTTTTCCTTATGTGTCTTTCCTGAGAGTAAGTAAAAACCACCTGATCAGTGACCGCCAAGTGTGAGATGTGATCCTTGGCACTGGGGATGGGCAAAATATTAGTTTTTTATTGCGGCTGGGAAAAAATTACCACATTAGTGGCTTAAAACAACACAAATGAATTTTCCCATAATTCTGGAGGTCCTACGTCAGAAATGGGTCCCACTGAGACGAAGGCAGGGCTATGTTCCTTTTGGAGTTGTGGTCCCCAACCCCTGGGCCACAGGCAACCTGCCCACAGACAACCACTGTATAGGGTGAGGAAGAGGAGTTGAGCCATTTGTCGCACTTCTGTGGTTCTGTTTCTTCATCTGTGAAATCAGAAAAATAAATCTGCAGGCAGCTCTCTAAACACTGAGAGAATCAAATGAGATAACACATGTAAGTAATGCCCTGAGCACTATGCCTGGCACGATGAACAGTGGACTGTTATTACAGGTCAACATGTGGCTCAGGCCGGGGGCGGTGGCTCACACCTGTAACCCCAGCACTTTGGGAGGCCGAGGCAGGAGGATTGCTTAAGCCCAGGAGTTTGAGACCAGCCTGGAAAACACAGTAAAACCTCATCTCTAGGCCGGGCGCGGTGGCTCACGCCTGTAATCCTAGCACTCTGGGAGGCCAAGGCGGGTGGATTGCTCGAGGTCAGGAGTTCGAAACCACCCTGAGCAAGAGCGAGACCCCCGTCTCTACTATAAATAGAAAGAAATTAATTGGCCAACTAATATATATAGAAAAAATTAGCCGGGCATGGTGGCACATGCCTGTAGTCCCAGCTACTCGGGAGGCTGAGGCAGGAGGATTGCTTGAGCCCAGGAGTTTGAGGTTGCTGTGAGCTAGGCTGACGCCATGGCACTCACTCTAGCCTGGGCAACAAAGCGAGACTCTGTCTCAAAAAAAAAAAGCACCTAGGCTCAATGGGAGCACAGAAGAGGGTAGTCAGGGAATCGGGGAGTAAAGTGAGGTCTAAATTGACACCCAAACAATGAGCGGGATTAGCTAGGGGCAGTGGAAGGAAGAGGGCCCTGGGCAGAGAGAGTGCGCACACCCTCAATCCTCGCCACATCCCAAAGCCTCACTAGGTCTCCTGCCACATACATGACTTGTGCTCCCTTCCCAGAAGTTCCAAAGCCACAGGACCCCCCTGACTCATCAGCACCCAGTTCCAGGCAGCTTAACATGTCAGAAGGATCCTAGTTGCCCCCACACTTTGCACCTGGAGCCACTGTCCTAATAGCCACTAATCAATGGGCTCCAGCTGGGCACCAGGCCCTGTGCTGGGGGCTCCACAGTTAGCAACTCACCAACTCCTCACAGCTGTGTCCATTAGATCCACTTGAGAAAAGAGGAGATTCGGCAAGGTTAGGATACTTGGCCAAGGTCACCCAAGTGTAGATGGCGGGAGCCAGGCTGACTCCACGCCATGAAGCCTGCACAGGCCAGCAGCCCCGGCCTTGGTGGCTCAGCTCCATGCATGGAGGCTGGACAGTGAGGAAAGGGGACGAGATGGGACTTTAGTAGAACAGCTAGCCTACCCTAGAGTCAGCCTGGTGAGGGCCAGAGCCTGGGGCAAGAGGCAGAGCACTTGTTAAACAGAACAGGCTGCCTTCTTTGCCAGGATAATTTGCAACAGCAGCAAGGCCCAGGCAAAGAAAGGATGAACTGGCTTAGACACCTAAGAGGTCCCAGATCATGTCCTCCCACCCTCAGCAGGGCCTAGTCCTTCCCAAGAGCAGGAACATCAGACCCAGAGGTAGTGGGAACCAGAGGCAGCCTCTCAACTCATCTATCCTTGACTGGAGGCAAAGCTGTGCAAACAAACAAGAAAAGCAGGCCGGGCGTGGTGGCTCATGCCTGTAATCCTAGCACTCTGGGAGGCTGAGGCGGGCGGATTGCTCGAGGTCAGGAATTCGAAACCAGCCTGAGCAAGAGCAAGACCCCATCTCTACTATAACTTGAAAGAATTCATTAGCCAACTAATATATAGAGAAAAAATTAGCCAGGCATGGTGGCGCATGCCTGTAGTCCCAGCTACTTGGGAAGCTGAGGCAGGAGGATTGCTTGAGCCTGGGCAACAAAGCAAGACTCTGTCTCAAAAAAAAACAAACCCAAAAAACCAAGAAAAGCATCCGTGTTGGGTTCATGGTGTACACTGGTGGCTTCTGGCCCCTTCATCTTCAAAGTCAGCAACATCAAGCCAACTGTTTTCTCTTGGGGAGCACCGACTTACATTATGTCACGATATCCAGCCCACTTTCTTGGCTTTAAACCTCCTCTTTAAAAAAATGAAATCATGGTGATAATAGATAAGGATGTGTGTGCACACAAAATAAATTATTGGCTTCTGAACAGTAAGGGATGAACTCAGTAGGCTGGTGTTGCTCAAACCTTGCACATTCCAAAGAAAGGGCTGGCTCTTGACTCCTCCAGCGAGATGACCTCTGAGCCCTTGGAAAATGCTACTGGGTAACAGTGGTTTTGTACGTCTGAGGCCTGGGGCGACACTGCATCCATTTGACCTCTGGGGACCTGGAGAGTAAGCAGCCGAGGTTAGTAACATGGGTGCCGCATGCCTATATGACTGATCCCCCATAAAAACCCTGGATCCTGAGGCTTGGGTGAGCTTCCCTGGTTGGTAATGCTTTGCCTGTGTTGTCATACATTGCTGCTGGAAGAATCGTGTTCCTGTGTAACTCCACTGGGAGGGGATTCCTGTAAGTTTGCACCTGGTGTCTCCTGGACTCTGCTCTTGGACCTTTTCTTTTTGCTGATTTTGACCTGTATCCTTCTACCATGATAAATGGTAAACATGAATGTGATGGTTTTTCTGAGTTCTTCCTTCTAGCAAATCATCGAGCCTGAGGGTGATCCTGGGACTCAGCACAGCATCCTAAGCCAATTCCTCAGTTCCTATTATTTGGAAACTTGATTGAAACTTCTGATTCAACCCAAGCCTATTGTCATGGTGCTGAGGACACTCTGGGGCCACTGCAGCCCCTGAAAAGGGAACGTTCCCACAGGTGGTCCAGCCATAAGGCCAACAAGTCCACGCCAGGTCTGGGAAGTGGCACGTGGGGGCAGCGTTAACTCAGGCCCAGGGTGGAGCTGGGACAATGACAGCCCAGGAAGCCTGAGCCTGCTGAAAGGGGGCCAGCTCCCCAGCACCTCAGGACAGAGGCTTCTCCAAACATGTGTGTTCTCCTTTGAAGGCATCACTCAACTCCAAAGAGCGAATCTCATCTTTCACCTGCTTTCTGCCAGATTCCCCACAGGGGAAGCCATGTCCCGCCCCCCTCGGGTTCTCTCCCCCTGCAGAGAGCAGGGAGGTCAGCACACACTTGAGCCAGCAGGGACACTATGACAGGAGAGCCTGGATGGCCATCTGCCACTCACCATGAGGGGTGCCTTTCCCTAGACCAAGTCCCACCCTTCAGGGGAAACTGAGACAAGGACAATAAAATGTAAATGCTATGTAAATAGTTGTTATACTGTACTTTTTATTTGTATTATTTTTGTTATATTGCTTGTTTTTATTTTTTCCAAATAGTTTGGATTTGTGGTTGGTTGAATTCGTGGATGCAGTACCTGCAGATATGGAAGGCCAACTGTGTGTGCATATATATGTATTATATATACACATATGTAAAGTGCTGAAGGTCATACCCCCAATATGTTAACACTGGCTATCTTTAGGCAGTGAAATTATGAGTGGTTTTTATTTTTCCCTCTGTAAGTATTGTGCATTGAATATATACAACTATTGTAATTTTTAAAAAATATTATCAGATCCACCTCTTGCCTTGACTCAGCACCAACTGGGCTTCCAAGTTAAAATTTCTAGAGGAGGTGGAGGGACATTTGCAAAGGGCACTGGGGAGGGTTCTGCTATCTTCAGGAATGGAGGAGATAATAGGGTATCTGGAGTTACCTGGAGAGCAAAGGACTGGCCCCGCAGGAAGGAAGTCCTTACATGTCATGGGAGAAAGGGGGTGGCAACATAGCCATTGAGTGGCCCAAGGTGGCCTAGGAACAGGAGGCAGATAATCTGGCAGCTGGTGAAATTCCAGAGTCAGGCTGAGGCCAGGCACTCTCCCCTACCTGCTTCCTCATTCCAGCTTCCTCACCACCTGCTCAAGCACACCCAGCCTTCTCCAGCTCCACCCAGGAGCTCCTGCTGGGGGGCAGGGCTGCAGCATGCTCAGCTCTGTGCCCTCCCAAACTTAGCACAGGCTCTGCTTGACCCAATGTAGGATGGACAAGTGGATGGGTGGATGGATATGTGTATGGACAGATGGATAAATGGACAGGTAGGTGAATGGGTGGATGGATGGACAGATGGGTGGATGGATGGACAGATGGATGGGTGGGTGGATGGATGGATGGGTGGATGGACAGATGGATGGGTGGATGGATGGACAGATGGATGGGTGGGTGGATGGATGGATGGGTGGATGGACAGATGGATGGGTAGATGGATGGACAGATGGATGGGTGGGTGGATGGATAGATGGATGGGTGGACAGATAGATGGATGGATGGATAAGTGGATGGATGGACAGATGGATAAATGGATGGAGTTCTCCCCCATTTGCCCCATCTCCTATCTCCATCTGCTGACCTTCCACCTCTCGCAGGCTCAGATGCCTCAGATGCCTCTACCTCCAAGAGGCTGAGCCGCCCCAGGCCTCCACTGCACTCCATGGCGATCTCAATTACACATTTTAGCAGAGTCTGCCTGGTACCTGAATTATGGGCCTCTGAGCTGTTTTCTCCATCAGTGCATGAACCTTAAAGGCAAGGTCAATGTCCTTGTCAGCTCTGGTTCTCCAGAGAAGCCTACAGCACAGGACTCAGCCCCAAAGAGGCACTCAATCAATACTATAAAAGGAGAGAAAGGATCCTCCCTTCTTTCCCTGAGGCTGTGTGGCTCATGATTAGTGAGTAGGGAGTGTTAGTGGAGGGGGGGGAGGCAGTTGCTGCCTCCCCCTCCCCCTGCTTAGGAACGAAGACTCCAGGTCCCTGGGCTCATCTGCGCCCCCAACTCCATCAGCTGGTTCATTTTACTTGCTCCCAGTCATGGTCACAAGGGGACCGTAGAGGGATGGTGACTCAGCCCAATTCATCACCACAATGGAAAAACCCAGTCACCTGTCCTCCTGGCAGCAGGACCGGAGCTGCCTCTGCATCTGGAAGGGCAGCAAGCCACAGTTTTCAAGGTCCTTTTGTCTTTCACCTGCTGAAACATCAAAGAGTAAAGCACAGAGGAGCACCACTGGTCGCCACTGTAGGCTTAAAGTGTGGTATGAATCTCAGCGCAGGGACCGTGTGTCCCTACCATGCCAGACTCTGAGTTAAGTGTCCATGCATGTCATATCACAGACTTTCACAAGTCCACTGTTATCTGAAGTGGTCACTAGTCACTCTTTTGGCCACCGGCATCTCACATGCCCTTGCTACAAGGCAGAGCCTACCTCCCTGCAGGGAAACTGGAAACACCTTTTCCCTGCCTCCCTTGCAGCTTTGTCAGGGTACATGATCTGGGCTCCCCCAATGAGACGTCCCATTCTTGACAGTGAATTAGAAACTGTTGACATGAGGAAGCCAAGACCACCTAGAATCCATCGTAGTGAGGATGGTGGCAGCAGCAGCACCTCTGGCTTCAGAGGCAGCTGTGGTCCTGATGGTCGTGGTCCTCATGGCCCAGGAGTGGCATTGGCTGCAGCTTTTGTGCCCAGGGATGGCAGTGGTGGCTTTAACGCCAGATCAACACTGCAGCGTCAGGCCTGGGTCTTGAGATCCCGGGGGCTGCCCACCTTCGTTTTTACAAAGCCTTTTTCTTTTCTTTTCTTTTTTTCTTTTTTTTTTTGAGACAGAGTCTTGCTTTGTTGCCCAGGCTAGAGTGAGTGCCATGGCATCAGCCTAGCTCACAGCAACCTCAAACTCCTGGGCTCAAGCAATCCTCCTGCCTCAGCCTCCCGAGTAGCTGGGACTACAGGCATGCGCCACCATGCCAGGTTGATTTTTTTCTATATATATTAGTTGGCCAATTAATTTCTTCCTATTTTGTAGTAGAGACGGGGTTCTCATTCTTGCTCAGGCTGGTTTCGAACTCCTGATCTCGAGCAATCCGCCCGCCTCAGCCTCCCAGAGTGCTAGGATTACAGGCGTGAGCCACCACGCCCGGCTTACAAAGCCTTTTTCTGCTTAAGTTAGCTAGAGAAGGTCTCTATGTCTTGCAACTAACACCCTGATTAAGTCAGCTTGAGTTTACAGACGGGGAAGGGAAGGCTCATTTGAGATCTTCAGAAAAGCTGTGTCTCATCTGCAGCCTAGGTGCAGGCCAGCCAGTCTCCTGCCTATTTATCAACGCAGTGACTCATGAAGCATTTTTCAAGTAATTAGGTGCAAGAGTGGGGGGACACTTCTTAGAAGCCCCCTGTCCCAGGCAACAGCTTGGCTCTCTGCAGTGTTCTGCTTTCCACTGTTAAAAACCCTGCCACCCGGCTGCCTCCCAACATCACCCTTCCTCCACAGGGTGCTAAAGATGAAGAGCCCAGCAGCACAGGGGACCCAGAGCTCACCCTTCTGCTGACTCAGCAGTGACTCTTTTTTTGCCTAGCGTGACTGACTCCTCCAGAAGCTGCCTGTCCCCTAAGCACCTTTGCTTGATGCAATATCCCCGGGGGCGCTCACAGTTATGTTTCTTCATCATGTATTCAGCTTCCACTTCTATGGGTTCAAATCCACAGCATGACCCTCCAGAACACTCACTTGGAGTCCGTGAGTTATTGGAGCCAAGTGGGTTGTCTACATTAGTTCAAGGCCATTGCAGATGCCGTTCCTCACACAGACAGACTCGTCACAGTGTCGAAGCTCTTGTTAGGCAGCATTTTACATCCTCTCCGGGCCTGTATTCCTCCAAGCAATGCAGAACAGGCTGGCCCTTGTGAATTACATTGCTAGAACATCAACAATTAATTCTGCTCAATGACTAGGTCTGAAATTACTGAAAAGGGTAGAAGTCAGGAAAGCCTGAAAGAATCTCTAATGCAATAATAACAATTTCATCATCAGTGACAATAACGGCCATTTATTGAACACTTAAACCCTGCGTCTGGCACTATTCTAAGAATTTTTTTTTTATATTCTGCCATTTAATTCTTAGCAGGAATCCTCTGAGGTCTGCATCAAATCATCCCAGTTTCACAGAGTATGACATATAGGCTCAGAGAGGGTAAGCAGCTTGCCTGACATCACACAGCCAGGAAATTGCAGAACCAGCCTATGTTCTTAAGGACTGGCTCCTGACTTCTATATATAGAACCACAGTCTGGTGGAAGTTTCAGAAACAGAGGTTCACACTGTCACCACGGACCTCCCTCCTACTTTACATGGAGGAAACTGAGAGGAAGGGATGTGCTCAAGGTGAGGAGCCCCAGTTTGCTGCCTCCTGTGAGATTTATATACTGCACCCCAAGCGGGGAAAAAGCTGTAACCCAAGGGGGAATGTGTGCCCTGTCTGGGGCCACCAAAATCTTTCCGGCTTCCTCAGCTGGTGGGTGGGTTAATTCACTGCCACGCAGCTGCCACCGCCCGCTGGAGCTGAGGGAAAGCCGGGACCTCAGCACACAGCAGCGCAGACAGAGGTGGGGTGCGGCCTTCCTCCCCCCACCGCCATCCCGACCTCCCGGAGGACCAGGCCCGCCACAGCCCTTCTGCGCCCGGAAAGGGCTGGAATCCAGGGAGGAGCAGAGCCAGGGCCAAGGTCGCCACAGAGACTAGAACCGGGGGCTCCAGGAGCCTTGTCTTGAGCTGTCTTGTCCAGATTTAGTTTTTCAGGTCATCAGGTTTCCATACTCCTACAGCGGGACCAACACCTGCGCCTTCCCTCTGGGGCGGCGGGGAGCGAAGGTGGGAGCCACGCCACTGGGCCAGGGCAGGGTGAGCCCGCGGAAGCCTCGAGTCTCCCCAGTCCCTTTTCCGCTCAGGTAATGGAGACTCCTGGCAGGACCCTGAGGGCCCAGAACACCTTTGCCAGAGACCTCACTCCCGCGCGAGTTCCCCAAGGAAACCCTCCGTTCCGAAAACTGGGGGCGACGCCCCAAGGGCCGAGCACCTGGTTCTTCCCGACCGCCCAGGGCTTTTCTACAGCGCCCCAAGTCGGGCAGGAAGGAGAGGGCGGGGGTGGGCGCTGTCACTAAATGCCCGAGGTCGCCCCGGGAGTCTGAACAAAGTCCCAGGCAAAGGCCGCCCCCTCCCCCGAACCCGACGTCGCGCGGCCACGGGGGTGGGAGTGGCGGGCAGGGCCCGCTCCGCACCCGCGCGAGTCCGAGCGGCGCGGGCGGGGGAGCGGGCGGGGCTGCGGGTGGCCGGGGCCTCCGCTGGCCCGCGCGGCGCGGCGGCGCCTCGCCTCCGCCCACACCGGCGCTCCCGCAGCGGCAGGAGGCGGAAGCCCGGACCGTTGCGCTGGTCCGCCGGCAGGCCCGCCCCGCGCGGCCCGGAGCCCACGCCGCCACACCCACGCGGGCACGCCCCCCGCGGCGCCCCCCAGCCCGGGCCTCCACCCTCGGCGGGCGCGCGAGGGGGGCCTTCCCCGGCCGCCCGCACCTGCACCGCGCGTTGGCGGCGGCAGCGCCCAGGCCCGGCTCCCGCCTGCGCGTCTGTGTCGCTCGCATCACCTCGGTGAGTCGGCGGCGCCCCTCGCCCCTGCTCCCCCGGCCCCCGCGCCCCTGCCACTGCGGTGGGGCGCCCCCGCCCCAGCCCAGCCTCCGCGCTCGACCCCAGACTCGCAAGCCCCGCAGCTTGTCGCCGGGGCCACATTTCGCCTACGCGACGGCGGCACCCCACCTCCCCACCCCACCCCATTCTCCCCTGTCTCCCTCCTGGCCCGGCATGGGGACCCCCCCCCTGGGGCCACAGCGCAGCCGCCGCCCACGCCTCCTCCACCGCAACGCCCGGGGACCGCCGGGCCTCTTTGTTCCGGCTGCGGGCGCAGGGGGCCCCCTCCCGCGGTGTCACCCGCACCCACCCCGCGCACTCCCTCCGCCTCCCCGAGTTCGCCCCGACCAGGTGGTGGCGGGCGCCTTTTGGGGGTGCGCGGCCGTGCAATTGGTGGATTTTTTTAAACCGCTTTGGAGGGGGGAGCGCGGCGTGGGGGGCGGCGAGAGCGCTCCGGGCCGCGAGCTGCTCCTGCTGCTTCGCCCCGCGCTCTCCTGCCGCCTCGCCCCGGTCTCCCGCGCTCCTCTCCGCGGCCGGGCCGAGCGCTCCCCCGACGCCGCAGCCCCGCCGGCCGCGCCGGGCGCCGAGATGAAGGTGCTGGGACACAAGATCGAGCTGCTGGCAGGTACCTACCGCCCGCCCTTCCCGGCGGCCGCCCACCACTTTCCGAGTTGGAGCGGGCTCGGGGCGCGGTGGCCGCGGGTTGGGGCAGCTCCGGTCCCAGCAGGAGGGGGGTGTGGATGCCAACTGATTCCTAGCTTGTGTGCTGCCGAGCCGGGCGCGGGGACTGGAGGCTGTGGCCCGCCCGGCTCTGCTCTCTGAGTCCCCGGTGCCGGCGTCCGGCGGGTGGAGCGCGCCGCGGGAGTGCGGGTCAGGGCAGCGGCACCTGCGGTCTCCGACCGGCCAAGCTGCCAAGCTCAGGGAGCTCGGAGCCCCCGTCCTCCGCTCAGCGTCGCTTGACCCCCAAGAAAGGAGCTCCCTGGTTCCCATCAGGACCCGTGCCGTGGGCCTCTTATTTCCTGCCCCTTGCGGCAATCTGAGCCGCCTTTCTCTAGCGGGAGAAGTTTCTTGCTGGGAGTAGAGGCCAAGTGGCCTGGGAAGTAGGAAGCCAGATTGGACCCTGGTGACTGGGGACCCTGGGCCTTGGGCCCCCTCCCCGAGAAGGGACCACGCGCCCTGCTGGAAACCCACATCCAGGCGGTGGAGGAGGTCAAATGAGAAGGCTGGGCATGGCTGGAGAGGAGGCGGAAAGGGTGGGGGGCGGTGGTCTGAGGGTGGGAGACTGTGCTCCCATGCCTGGCGGGCGATGGCACAGGTGGCTTCTGTGTTCTCCCAGGGTAGAGGTCATGGAGAGACCCAGACTGGAGGAGAGGGAAGCAGTGCGATTCCCCCAGGCCTGGGACTTGAAGGCGCTGGATCCACGTACACGGGCTGAACACAGATGCCTGTAAATGTCCTCCCGCACCTGGGGGGTTTGGTTCCTCCCCTCCAGGATCTTACCCTCCGGTGCAAGACAATAGGGCACAGCAGCCCCCTGTTCCAAGGCCGGCAAGGGGCAGCAATCTTGGGTACACTCAGGAAACAAGTTGGAGTTGGGGGGGGCCAGCATTTGAAGTCCCCAAAAGATAGTTTCTGTTAATGGAGGGGGAGGTGGCATTACAGGCCGCAGGATCAAGGGACTGGCCCATGCCCTGGGGTGGGAGAGGCCTGACCTGGGAGAGGTGTGGAGGTTGCAGGCTTGGAGTGTGTGTGGGTGGGAGGGGGTGGTGTTTCCAAGGCTGGGGGGTAGGTTGGGTGAGGTTTTAGGCTGTGAGTACATTAAATCAGCAGTAGCGTGTGGCAAGCTCGTAGAGAAGGGAGGGTGGGGGCTGTTCCTGGGACACTAGAAACTCTGCCCGGGTGCTCAGAAGTGCCACCTCTCGGCCCAGTTAGCCACAGGGCTGGCAGCCCCTCCACTCCCTTGCCAACTTGTCCTTGTAGAGCCCATTTGAGGCAGGCTTGGGCCCGGTGGGCTGAGTTTGTTAACCCCCTGGAGGGAAGGGTCCTGGGTCCTGGGTCTTTGGAGCCTTTCTTGGAGGACAGAACTCCTGGACCTTCTGTTCTCCTCCTCTACCTGTACCTGAAGGGCCAAGAGTAAAAATGCTTTCAGGGTGGCTCCCCAGGGGTCCCGGCTTTAGGGACCTGATGCAGTGTGTCCTCATCTTTTGGGTACAGGGGTCAAGACCCCTCCTCCTCATGAGATGGGCTCACCAGGTCTGGCGGGCTCCCTAAGCCCCTGCCCAGGCTGGAACAGGATGCTCTCGCTCACTGCCGTCAGTCACAGGCTCCCGTTGTACCTCTAGTCTGAACCTGGGAGACAGTGCAAGCCCTCGGTTGCTAATTCGTCATCTTTGCAGTCTTCCTTTCCAACTCCCTCCTGTCCTCTTCCTTGTCTCACAGATCTGGATCCAAACTTCAGCCTCACCGCTAGCCAGCTGTGTGATTTCAGAGAGGTTGCTTAACCTCTCTGACTTCAGTTTTCCCATCTTAAAGATGGAACTATTGGCCCCTCCCTTGAAGAGATGGCATGAGACGACTCACTGAGATAACGCAGGTGACACACCTGCTTGGGACCTAGGCCCTACTGGGCATTTCTTGGACTTTGTTCTGGTTCTTGATCTTGGCTGTCCCCGTAATGAAGAACTCCACCTGTCCTGGCTGGTTGGCCACTAGGGAGTTTGGATCTGTCCCCACTCTACTTTATCCCTGCTCACAGGCATCTGTACGATTGGGACCTGTCTCCCCCATTGGATGATGAGCAGGTCACAGTGAAACTGGTGGCCGATTTATTGGGGTAGTGACACAGGAAGGTGACTCACTTGGATGTCAAGTGGCTCCTTGGCTTTGTGCAAGGAAGAATTCAGGAGCGAGCCGACAGGATGGAGTGAAAGCGAAATTTATTCAGAAACTATAGAAAGTTACTCCATAGAGCAGAAGCCAGTGCTCCCTGCAGAAGACAGCCGGCCCCCTGGACCCTGTTGCCGTTCTATTTAAGCACCGGCTTAATTATAGACTAAACATGGGGAGGAATATTCATGAAGGGACGGTATCTTTCTAGAATCAGGATGACCCCCTCTATTTCTCCACCATCTTGATTCTACCCACTGGGAACTTGTGGAGCCTCTGTCCTGCTTAGATCAGGGTAATTTGAAACTTTCTTTGGAGACTTCCTGACTCAGTTAGGTAATGCCTAAGGCAATGCCCGAAGCAGTGCCCGAAGTAGTACCTGCCAGTTCCTGGTCTCCAAGGCACACAGCAGATGCTCGCTGACTGTCATCAGCTGTGTCCCTAGGATAATTTTGTAGAGGCCTCTAACTCCCTGCCCCCACATCAGCCTTAGGAAATGGTTTTCCTGAATTGTTTTAAAAACTCTTGTTTATTTAGTTCCGTATAGTTTTCACATTCTCCCATGTTATTTTCATGCCCATTTCACTGGTGAAGTTGGTCACTTCCTCACGTTCACACAGCTAAGGAATGTGGTGCTGGATTCACACCCCAGTCCGGACAGAGCTGGGAATGGCCCCCTGGTATACTGACTTGCTTTAGGCTAGTCTCGTAGTTGTTCCACCCTCCACTTTCCTCATCTGTAAAATGGGATCATCGTGGTACCTGCCTGGTTGGGGTCTTCAGAGATTGGATGTGAGGGGTGTGTACGCAGTGTTGAGCGCAGCTGCAGGCAGGCTCAGCAAGTGGCAGTTGCAGGGCTGTCGTCCCTGAGCTGCCTGCTCGATGTCCTGGGGTCTCTTCCTCCCCCTTTCGTTCCAGTTTCCAGATCCCCTCCCTCCAGGGTGTCCCAGTTCCTTTGCTGGGTTCTCTGCACAATCCAGGCCTCTCTGAGATGTGTCTCTAGGGGACCCTGCTTAGGTCTCAGGTTCCTGTGAATGGGGCCTGGCGTCTGGGTTTGGGCCCTTCTGGCAGAATGTCCACATCTCTCCCACCAGTGGGGAGAGCCAAGTGCCCCCTCACCTGTGGGACCAGAAGGCTGCCTGTGAGTTGGCACCCCCAGACCCAGCAATGTCTTTTTGTTCTGGAAGGAAGGGGGTGTTGGGCCCTTCTAGACCCTTCACTGATAACTGACGCTTTCAAGGCCAACCTTGTCCAGGCTTCCTCACGGTGCTTTGCTGTAACAGGATCAAATAATGCAGGATTTTAAAATCAGAGCATGTGAATTTCGGGGTCTCCTCTCTGCTTCTCAGCTCCTGGACAAATTCTTATTTTCTCTGAGCCTCAGTCTTCTCATCCATGAAATGGGAATTATAGCCCTACCTTGTTAGCATTTGGGGAGACAGCCGAGGTGACACTTGTGAGGGAGCCCAGCACACTGTTACGCCTGCACACGGCTCGCTGCAGTCCTCAGGGACAGATTCTTGGTGCCTTTGGTAGCTGGGTGATTTTTTTTGTTTGTTTTTTAGTGTGATATGGGAAAGTGGGACATTATTTCTACTTGCAAGTAGGAAGGCAGTTGTTTTTGTGTATTGGTGCTCAAGCAAGATGTTTCCAAAATGGTTCAGAGCCAGAGCTCTAAAATGGCAGAGATGGGGCTCTGACATGGTCCCTAGGGAGCCTCAGTATTGGATCTTGGAAACTTTTAAAAATATACTTGAAGTGTGATCAAGAAGCAAACGTTCTACCAGTTGTCTAGAATGTTGGTTTGGTTTTAATGCATGAAATACGTAGCCCCACTCAGTTTTACAGACTATATTTAAATAGCGTTTGATTGTTGGCGGATGCGTTGACCCACATTCTACATGCAGGGCAAACTGAGGCAGGGATTTGCCCTGGGAGGCTGAAAATAGGACCCTGAATCCCCACTTTCAGTTCATTTCCTGATTTGCTGGGGTGCTGGCATGGGAGCCCACGGACAAGCCTGGGGGCATGGTCTGCTGGACTAGAGGGGAGACTGCAAGTCACCAGGTGTGCCCAGGACCCCCGGGGAGGGAGGAATGTGGCGAGATGGGCCTGCTGCTCCCCTGCACAGAGGAAGGGAAACTGGTACAACTCTTATGAAGGACAAGTTGGCAATGATCTATCAAAAGCTCAAAAATACGTGTGATCTATGACTCAGCAGTTAAATTTTAGGAACAAATAAAGATGTGTGCAAAGGTGTTTGTTCAAGGATATTTATCCCGTTGTCGTTTATAGTAAAAACAAACAAACAAAAAAAAACTAGAACCAATCCAAGTGCCTAACAGTAGAGGAGCACATTTGCCGGGGAACCCCAGGTGGCTGCAAATTATGCTGCCGAAGGTTATTTATCCACCTGAACAGATGTCCTCTTAAATATGTGTAATAATAATGGTGATGACAGCTCACACTTACATGGCATTTGCTATGTGCCAGGCACAGCCCTAAGCGCTTTCTGTGCCTTAACTCATCATCATAACAGCCCTATGAGGTATGTGCTATCATTCCCTCCTTTGTACAGAAAGGGAAACTGAGGCACAGACAGGGTCAGTAACCAGCCAAAGGTCGCATGGATGGTGAGTGGCTGGCTGGGATTTGAACCAGGACATCTGGCTCCATAGTCCAAAGGCTGTTTCAAAACACAGGAGGTTTTTTGTTTTTTCATTTGTTTAAAAAAAAAAATTCTTTTTCAGTGTCTAGATGAGCATTGGACAAAGAACAAAAAACTATCTGCCGACAGATTAACAGGGGAACTTCCTCTGGTTTACAGGATCATATGTGGGTTTTGCTTTCTTCTTTTTGGTCTTCTGTTTTTCTCATTTTTCCTAGTGAATGGTATTAGGTGAAATTCAAGTTCTGTTTTTAAAAACTGAAGATTAACCAATGCATGGGGGAAAGCGCCAGGTGCCATGGTGCCCATGAATCCAATCCCGAGGGGATGCCGAAGTCGGTGTGCAGCGGGGGGAAAGTGCAGGAAGAAGAGTAGTCTGAGCTGGGTGGTGACATTGGCTTCCTTTAAGTCTAAGGAGGCGGAAGTCACTGCAGGCAAAGTGAACAACGCGGGCAAAGGTGGGGCCGCGGGAACCTTGGCGGGAGGGTGTGCTGGGCTGAATAACGACCCTGAAAATATTTAGATCCTAATCGCTAGAAGCTGTGAATGTTACCCGACATGGCAAAAGGGACAGTGTGGAGGTGATTAAGTTAAGGATCTCGAGATGGAGAGATTTGCCTGGATTAACCAGGTGAGCCCTAAATACAACCACATGGGCTCTTAAAGAGGGAGGCAGAGGATGTTTGAAAACAGAAGAGGTGATATGATACTGCAGCAAGATGCTCTGCTGTTGGCCTTGAACTTGGAGGAAAGAGCGTCAAGCCAAGGA